AATGTATATCATGTGATTTGAATTGATAAATGAATGTGTAAATCTTAGGTCCTATGATTAGCCACTATTTTCACCAATTTTTAAAATAACTTTTTTTTTTCTCCTTCACTAGTTCATTTATAATAGTCCTGTAATGTGGCATACAAATATTCCATGTAGTCTCTATAAAGTCAAAAAAGTTGTACACAATAAAATCAATTGAACATTTTTAGATGGAAGTAAAGCATGTCATATTGCATGATGTCAACCTGCTGTCATGATTCTATTGCAGTATAATGGACTTACAGTGGCTTTAGTAACAGTTCAGCTACATTTAAAAACTAACATTCACGTGTAATTTTACTCACTTCATCAGTTAAAAAAAAAAAAAGTCCAGAACTTTTCATTGCCATTTTGCAACTGGTTTCAAGAAGTTCACTACTACAGGAGTCCTTGGACAAATTCTACAAGCATCCAAATACATCGATTTATGTCTGGTCACAATTAAAATATGTGTGTATATATATATATATACACACACACACACACACACATACATGTCTTGGTATATTATATTATATTAAATAGCAAAAACATATAAATGTTTCACATTTAAAACTTTAATATCTTTGAACTACATAATTGTATCCTCATAAAGACAAAGTTTGATACTTTACTCTCATCTCAAAAAGTACAACATCTGTATTCTAATCAGTGAAAATGTATAAATAAACGACTCTCACATGAGGTCCGGTCTGAACTTGTGGATGAGAGCGCAGAAGGCCAGTCCGTCTCTGAAAGATGTGCTCATGTTGCTGATGGTCACATCTCTGTATCCCTCGCACTGAACCATACACCACTGCTGAAGCGCCTTGATCGCCGCCATCCTCGCCAAAACGCACTGCAGATAGAGTCTATTAAATGACAGAGAGAGAAAAACGTCGTTTGTTCGACGAAACAACGGAGCTTGTAAATAAAAGACTGTGGAAACACTGAGGGAAATCCCAATGAAAGAGAGTAAAAAGCGGATGTGAGCTGTAACCCGCGTCTCAGGCCTCTTCACTTCAGCAGAGCGCCTACGGCAGCTGTGGAACAGAGGAAACGAAGGGGGAGGAGCCTCAAATCATCAATGATTAAACGCTAATTGCTTTATTTGTTATTTTCATGGAGTCTGTTTCGCTCGTTATTATATCTGTGTAATATGGTAAGCATGTCCTTAAAAAAGACTTGTGGAATGTGACGAAATTAAGGCCTACCTTAGCAATTGTTATGCAGTGCATTTTATGCAACTTGTCTTAACATATTTAAACTCAGATTTGTAAGGATAGAAATTGTTATTTTGTCATAAAATCAGAATTAGGTTAACGTGGTAGAATAATTTCACTAACTTTTAACATAAAAAACTACACACACACACATCTCTGTGTGAGTGAAACAAAGAGTTTGAATTTTTATGTAGGTTTTATGCACAAATGTAGAAGGTTGCTCCAAGTTTTGTGGCTTTAAAAAAATGTCAATCCTTAAAGCAGCTGGGGGAAAAAGAAATGCAGTTAAACTCTCTAAATTACTTGCAGTACACATTGATCATCATTTTAATCTAATTTGTTAGAATTTGCATTTATATATTTTGGTATTTATATTTGATAGATAGATAGATAGATATTTTCCAAATGTTTACGTTATTAGTTAGTTTGTCTGAAACATTCCATCCTTTTAGATATTATTTAGAAATTAATATATTATCAAAAAAAAATCAAAAGGTTAAAAAGTATTGAAATAAATTTCAGGTTGGCACCATGTACTGTAAGCTGATCATCATTTTAATCTAATTTGTTAGAATTTGCATTTATATATTTTGGTATTTATATTTGATAGATAGATAGATAGATAGATATTTTCCAAATGTTTACGTTATTAGTTTGTCTGAAACATTCCATCCTTTTAGATATTATTTAGAAATTAATATATTATCAAAAAAAAATCAAAAGGTTAAAAAGTATTGAAATAAATTTCAGGTTGGCACCATGTACTGTAAGCAAACTTGCTATCCCTCACTGAACAATGACTTCAACTCTTTATTCTGTCCTGTTAGGTTCTATAAGTAATAAAGTTTCAGTGCCTCAACTCGACCAGACTATATATCTGAAAGTCTGGTGTATGTTTTATAAAAATACTTCCTTAATGAAACACATTCATTTGTTCATTGCTCATGAGGTACTTCATAACAAGAATGACCCATATTTTTATGACACAGGTGGTTTAAACATGGAATATGTTTATGAAGAAACCACAGGGGGCTGCAGAGGATGTTTACAACCATCAGCATAAATCAGTTCAAATTATTGCTGCATGAATATGAATGTTTACAATGGCCTCTTAACAAGGTCAGACTGTCCATCTCATTTGCACAGGCGGATATAAACCCTGGGAAATAAACCTTTAACATTCCTCCTGTTTTACTTTAACAATAATAATACAGACATATATTGCTTTAAATAGTCTAACCCTTCCTTAATAAAACATAATACCTACAATTAACATTATAAGACTACCAGTGTATAATTGTAGTGTAGACACAAATACCATCACCGTTCAACTGTCTTAAGGCAGACAAGAGATTGTTTTCAGTGTAATTTCAGATGATCCACCTCCTCTGATGGTTTTTAGTTTGACTTGGGTAACCCACGGTGAGCATCTCAAGTTGTGGATGGGTGTAGAATCAATGAGATTATTTATAGCTTGACACCGACTTCAGAAAGACAAAGCCTGAGTATGATGAAGCGGTGACAATCTGAGCTATACTCGTTACACATTAAATCCTCCAGATTTCACATGCACAATATTCCCATAGACTTCAATACTGTTGGTGTAAGAGAGTAATGACTGTTCTGATCAAACAGACCTGCTTAATCTCAAGACAAGACGCCTTTAAACTCAAAGAGGACCCTGTTGCCCAGAGGAGGGCACTCTTACTCCACACTGGCTCTAAAGACCTAAAGACTAATGCAATTTCTGGCTCTTCAACAAGGGCTTTGGTTGCACAAACATTGAATGAAGCTGACTTTATGATTCTGCTGATCCCATAGGAAATTCCCTAACTGAGGACCTTTATATTCATTTGACATGTAGCAGGTGCGCCGTCCATTTTTTCAAATACACCAGCAGCGTCCTGCATTTCACAAGTTCTCAAGGGCTGCAGCTCTGAACAAACATTTCCAAGATTTATCTTAAAGGCACAATATGTAATTTTCACCGCTAGAGGGCACGTATTCAAAATAAACAAAGAGGCAAAGGCTTAGTTTGATGATGCCTGACTGAGTGTGGAGTCATGGGAGTTGTGGTCTTCATCCTCACAGCCGATGCAATCGACGGGACTCGGGCAGAAATCATGTTCATGGATGAGCTAATGATTTATTAACATAGTAGAATGAAGCAGGGTGAGGCTGAAAGCCGTCGAAGCGAAACGAGGCCGCTGAACGAGCGTGACACATGGCTCGAAAGCAGCAGAGCTTTTATTATGCCACAGTCGACCGCTTCCGCTGCTTCCGGTACAGGTTTTTCGATATTTTAATAAAAAAATCTTACATATTGTGCCTTTAAGTGTATTTAAATGGATAGTCCACACAAAAATATTCAATTCGGTCATCATTTACCAAACAGTTTCAGGTCCCATTTTTGTCCATAAAGTAAATGGGACCCAAAACCGTTTGTTTATCAACATTCTTTAAAAGATCTTCTAATGTGTTCCACAGATAGTAAATCATACAGGTTTGGAACAACTTGAGGGTGAGTAAATGATGGCAGAATTGTCATTTTTTTGGTTGAATTATCCCTTTAAGTAGCAGATTTTTCTTAAAAAAAAAAAACATGCAAATGTTAAGCATGAAACATGAAATAAAAATGTATTTTAAAAAAGTATGCAATAATTACAGTATATGAACAAATGTTCAGCACAATTAACATATATTGTGGAGGAAAATACAAGTGTGTTGCAGTCTTTAAAAAGCAAATTTGTCAGAAAAGGCAGGCAGTTTTCAGCTATCCCTATTGTGTTTATGGAGGGCTTGTGGCAGCTTGCAGACATCCTGTGTTTTCACGCAGGGTAACAGGATAGCTGATAGAGGAGTTGGCCATTGATGAGATCACCATGAGCTTCCTCTTTTAGCTCCTCTTGTTCACTAGCTGTCAGTCCAACAACATTTGGACTTTGTAAATGTCCATTGTCGGCATAAAGTGAAGCAAGCAACCTCAAAACATTTTTTACATTTTGTTTTAAAGGCTGTTTATAAATTGCTGCCAATCATACTGAAAGAACATTCAAAATACTACTAATATGAAAAAAAAGAACAATTCTAAAAGTAGATACATATAACTTAAAAAAAAAAAAAAAAAAAAAAAAAAAAGTAAAACAAAATTTGTAGGGACATGCAAATTTTGCACATTTGCAAAAAAAAAAAAAAAGTAAAACAAAATTTGTAGGGACATGCAAATTTTGCACATTTGAAAAAAAAAAAAAAAAAAAAAAGTTACTATGGACCCTTTTCACAGACTATGATGATGCGTTTCCACAGATATTAATATTGTAAATATAGCGTTTTTATATTTTCATTTTTAAAAAAAAATCTATTGTACAATTATAACACTGTACTTTGTACTATATTACACTGGCATTAAATTACATAAAAATAGTTAACACTGCTGCGTGTTTCTAACACCACTGCTGAGAGAGTGATGGCAATTTTGACATCTTTCTCTCTTCTGTAATCAATCTCTTGATAGTTTTTCCTACACTAAAACACTATCAAAAATTTTTCTTTTGCTATTTGGGTAAACGGGAGCACAAAAAATACGTTTGTTGTAGTTTCTATTCACCGCTATGGAAGTTTAGCCAACTATGACCACTTCTGCTTCTGAGAACCCTGGAAATTTGAAAAGCGTCCATTGGTTTCACAGATAATACATGATATTGTGACAATCTAAGAAGCAAAAAACAATACAGAGTGAAGAAATTTGCTGTTCTCAGTCACATTGTTTAACCTCATTGCGTGTGTAATTGTGCATAATAATAAATAATGAATTGAATGGGATTTTTAATGTGCCCTGTGTGATACTGAGGTAATGTTTAATGGCTGCATCTGTTTCAGTCTCTTTCCAGGCCTGCGGCAGATACCCGTGTCTTCATCTGCCTCTCTCTGCTGGCCTTGGCTACAGTGCTGTGGATCTCTGCCTCATAGTCCCTGGCCTTAGCCCTCAGTTTGGCAATGCTACAGCAGCGGAAGTCCTCTGACCCCTCCTGATCTCTAGGCCGCTGAAACATGTCGCTCACGGGGCTGTGGATAGCTGATGAGGAGGGTTTGGAACAAGTGGGGCTTCCTCTCTCCTGTTTCCTGTCCCAGTCTGGGCTGCTGCTGCTGTGGAGCTCTGGAGCTGTGCTCCTGCTGGACGAATCTACCTGTCTGTCGTCACTGTCACGCCGGCCGCACTGCTCTCCTGCCTGACTCTGGAGCTTCATCTGCCTGCGCATTTTAGCCCGGCGGTTTTGGAACCACACCTACGGGAACAAAGGGAAAAGATATTGTTATTTTTATAGTGTGCGTTAGATTAAATTATGCAAATTATCACAGTATTAGTATTGATATCGGTCTCATTTTCCAGTTTGCTTCTCAAGTAGGTTTTTCTTATTTTAAGAATTGTTAGTGGAATAAATATAAAAATGACTCGGATTAGGAAAATCAAAAACTCATTAAGAAAATCTACATAGTTTTTTCCTTGTTACAGTTTTGCTTTTCAAGTAGATTTCTCTTATTTTAACATTTTTTTTAATAGAAAAATAAAAATAAAAAATAGCTCTAAGAAAATCATTAGAAAAATCAAAATTCATAATGAAAATCTAAACAGCGTTTTCTTGTAAAGTACATTTAGCATATTTTTAGTAGAAAAAATATTTGTAAAAAATCATAAAAAATGAATAAAAGTAAAAAAAAAATGTATTCATTAAGAAAATCTAAATAGTTTTTTTTTTCCTTTTCCAGTTTGCCTCTCAAGTAGGTTTGTCTTATTTTAAGAATTTTTAGTAGAAAAATACATATACAGTAAATGACTCGTTAAGAAAATCATTAGGAGAACTCTCATTAAGTAAATAAAAATTGTTTTTTTTTCCTTTGCTTTGCTTCAAGTAAATTTGTACTTGAAAAAAAGAAATATTAAAAATATATATAAAATGCATTATTAATATTATTATTGAGAAGATTCTAAATGTTATCATGTCACTACAGCATTTCCTCAATGAAAATGTTAGGGACAAAACAGCACTTTAAAGATGAACAATGCTGCACATCTTGTACAATAAAAATAATAATAATAATAATAATAATCTTAGCAATGGTTCAGAGAAATCTTTAGTAAATATTCCTATTATTCCATGCATCACAACAGTCAAAGAGAGCGACCTGCACTCTGGCCTCTATCAGGTCCAGTCTGAGGGCCAGGGCTTCTCTCATGAAGACGTCTGGGTAGTGGGTGCTCTCGAAGGCCTTCTCCAGCTCCTCCAGCTGCCAGCTGCTGTAGTTGGCCCGAGCTCGCCGCTGCTTCACTGGCCGGGGTTCATCTGGAAGCCACATCGCAGCCACAATTAGACAATTGCCAGAGGCTGACAAGGAACTAATGGCTCTAGATTGGATAATTAGCGCAACGTTCATTAAGCCCTCTTCAGCAGAGCCGGATAATTGATTGTTAGTTACGAGTTGTTAGCCAATCCTTTCTAAACATTTTGAATCCTATTAAATACTGTAAAATGAGGATGGACAATTATGAGAGAATATGATTCACAAATGGCCTCTCTTAATGAATACGTATTATTAAGAGCACATCACCTAAATAAATATACAACGCCAAGAGCTACCTCACTAGCTTTTTGCATTACAAAACATTATATAAGAGAGCAATCTTATCTCAAAGGTTTTATTTACATATTTTATTACAAAGCTCTCTTGAATACATGATTCTGATTAGCCAGTTATTAAACAGTATAATTGATTGTTGTCATCAATTTCTTAAATGTCTCTCGCATCAGTATTTGGCCTCTTTATTCACACATAATAAAGTGATTTCAACTCAAAATAAATATTTAATGTCCATATATTTATTTATTTAGTAAGTAGTCTTATAATAAATTATAATAAATGCCATAATAAATGATATAATAAAATAATCAGTATCAGGGTGATAAAAGATCCGAGCAGTCTTTAGTCATCTTCAAGAAACGGCTAAGGACATATAATTTCCATCTACACTTGACCCTCTAACACTAACTCGCTCTATTCTATCTACTTGTTTTCTTTTTATTTCTTAAAAAAAACTTGACCCTCTAATACTAGCACTCTCTATTCTATTTACTTCTCTTTTTATTTATTAAAAAAACTTGACAATCTAACACTAGCACTCTATTCTATTTCTATTATCTACTTGTTTTCTTTTTATTTATTAAAATAAAACTTGACCCTCTAACACTGGTACTCTCTATTCTATTTCTATTCTATCTACTTGTTTACTCTTTATTTATTATTAAAAAAAAGCTTGACATAACACTAATACTAGTGTTCTCTATTCTTCTTATTTTCTATCTACTTGTTTTCTTTTAATTTTTGATAAAAAATAATATTATTAACTTAAGCCTCTAACACTAACTGTCTCTATTCTATATCTATTCTATCTACTTGAAAAAAATAAAAGTAATAATTAGCACAGCGTTCATTAAGCCCTCTAATTGATAATTGATTGTTTGTTATGAGAAAAAAAAAAACTTGCTATGTGTGCTGCGTTAGACTAACCGGGACTTGTCATAGCACCTACATAATGTTCTTTTGTTGTTTAATTGCTTCTATTTGCAATTGCTTCTATTTCTATTCTTCATTTGTAAGTCGTTTTGGATAAAAGTGTCTGCTAAATGATTAAATGTACAATTTTTTGGTTATATATATATATATATATATGTGTGTGTGTGAGTGAGAGAGCGAGAGAGAGAACATTAATTAATTATTTATATATAACCGCTTGGCCACTGTAGAGTCTGAAAATTCTATATAATAATTACTTTTCACATGAAAATGAAAATTTTAATTAACACAAATACATAAATAAAAGAGGCCATATAAGATGTCACAACAAAAATGACAAATAGGTTGCAATGAGCTCACCGATATTCTCAGCATGTTGTCCTGTGGACTGAGCGGCCAATAGCAGAGCCTGTTTGCAGGGCTCGGGCTGCAGGTAACTGCGCAGGAGCTCGTAGCTGAGCAGAGGCCCGGGGATGAAGATCTGCGGTGAGGTCAACCTGCTGGGAAATGCTGGGAAGAAGTGTGCAGCCGAAGAGTGGAAGACTGCAGAAGACACCAAATGCCCAGTGCCAAACATGGCCCACGTTCAGCAAGGTCCTTTTGGTCCAGAAAGAGCTCCAGAAATAGATGTGTGTACGTGATGGTCTCTTTAGGCGTTGAAGTGTTACAGAAGAACAAACCAGAGATCCAGCAGCAAGAGAACTTCTTAGAAGAGCCAGAGTAGAGACAACTTTTCTCACCTGAGTCAGGTGTGAGTCCCACCCTCTCCCTGAGTCACATGACTCACCTATGACCACTAATCCTAGCAAAACAGGGCCGGGTTTGAAGGAAATCACCCAATCATAGGGGACCATTGATTCCATGCTTCATTTAAGAGAGGCTTCTTACAGCATCACTCTTCAGCAGAGCCCAACGGTGACACCTAATGCCTCCTAATCCACACCTCGGTTACTCTGAAAGAGTAAATGAGTAATATCCCACCATTTCTATTTGGGGAGGAGTACAGTATATGGAAAGGCCTGTCATTCTGAAGTGTTCCATAAGACAAGTTCAGGCACTCTTCAGCTTCTGTGTTCACTTATTAATATGACAAAAGCAGACTTTTGGAATTGGGAGTGTGGCGAGAAAATGGGGAAAAGCACTGTTCCTAAGCTACAAATGCTTTCAAAGACACGTACAACCGCCAGAGAGACCTGTTTGTCACTCTCGCTCTGCTGTCGGTGTACAAGGGTTGCGTCTTAAAAAAATGGCGATATAACAGATGGATATTAAATCATTAGGGAAAAATCTAAAGGTTCACAGCTGAGAAACGTTCAGTAAGAAAACTCAATGCAAACAGAGCTCTAGTTGAAACCTGCAGAGAGAGCAAACAAACAGCCTCTGTTTACACAGTAAACACATCACACTAATTGGCCCACATAATTGACATTCATTTACAAGCCCATTTGCAGCATTTGGGTGTTTGTATGACATTCATTTGCGATACAACATGACTAAATGGAAAAAAATAACTCCTTCAGGAAAGGCTTTGATGAGTTTTCATAATCAACATGCTTCTCTTTGGCAACAGCATTTTTGCATCTGAAATGGAGAATGTGTGGCATCAACTGGGAATTCTGTCAGATTAAAACCTGACGCCTTTGTTCCAAAAGACGTCTAAGCCTGTTATCTCACTCAAAGCCTTCTTCACATTAGGAAGATCACCTGTCCAAACAAGGTGTATTGTTCAGTCCTGAGCTAAGGACAGAGTTCACTAACAATGGTTTTGGGTCATGGATCTCCGGTCTTTGAAAACAGATCACTTTCCCAACTAAGACCAAATTGTACTTCGAGAGAAATGCCACACTATTTTTCTACAGCACGTCAAACAGGTTGAGGAAATTCTGAGTGAGAATTATGCACTTTTCATGTAGATACTAGAGCACAGTTATATAAATTGTTCACACAAAATTGATGTCATCGTTTACTCACCCTCATGTTTTTTGAAAGCCTCTATGGCTTTGGTTTTTTTTTTTTTCTGTAGAGGCACAAAAAGTAAATTTCTGAAGAAGATCATATTTTCCATATAATGAAAGTTGATGAGAATTAAGGTGTCTAGTTCCAAAATGGATAAAGCATTTTGAAAGTGGTTCATATGACTTCAGAGTTCATGAGAGAAATGGAGATGTCATGAATGAATCATATTTCCCAATTAATCAACCATCTAATAAACCACAAAACCAGTCTGAATCCTTCATTCACATCAGGCTGATCTAAATCTTAAAGGCTGGAATACATGACTACATGGCTTTTTCCAAATATGAACATAGTTAAAGCACTTTGCATCATACACTTGTCGACTTTGTAAATGCTACAGAGAAAATACTAAATGACTGAGGATCACACACTACCAGACTTTCAAGTCATTTTGGACACACAAACTCAAACAGAAACATACATCGTTACTAAGTCATGACATCATAAGTCATACATCGTTACTAAGTCATGAGTCGTGAGATGAAACATGTTTGATATCTTCAAACTTGCTGAATTCATAGCCTGAAGATAAAAATGCCGAGTCTGTGCCCATTATACATTAGCTCTGTCAACTCTGACTGCCCAAAATATGCAGTCTGGCAAACTAATATTGACTTCTCCAGACTGTAAATCGGGGGGAAAATCTAGGCAAAAGTCGTGTAGTGTATTCCAGCCTTTAGTTCAACTCATTGACTCAATTATATAGTTGTACTGTAGTAGTTAACAGTTCACTTTAAAGAAAGAGTATCAGTGACAAATAACTAAATTGTCGATCTGTTCACACAAAGCAATCATATGTCTTCAGAAGACTCAAAATTTGGCGCATGAGTCAACTGGACTTCTTTTACGATACTTTCCTAGTACTTAAGTGTCTTTTCTGAATCTTGAAAGCTCCAGGCTGACCAGATCTCCAGACATTAGTACACTACTAGAATAATCTACAGTGTCCTACAGAACAACGAGTGCAGAACTATGAGGGTGAGTAAAAGTTGACAGAATTGTCATATTTGGGTGAACTCAGACTAAATCACTGGTCATAACACAACGACATTCAAAAAGAGGCTAGTGGATGATTGAGAGTCTGAAATAACAGAAATTCTTCCTGTTTTAGACTGAAATGAAAGCAGACAGCATCATGCTCCGAACATCTGCATCCCTGTTGATGATGGATAAGCAAAGAGTTGTCATGATCTCTCCGAGAACAAAACACAGGTGTGTGAATTAATTCCCAGGAACATTTCACCTCACAACCATCTTCATCCACCCTCTATCTGCTAATCAGATCAAACCGCAGAGAGACTCAAGAGCTGTCACCAGCCTCAGCGCTAACCGCTAATCCTGCGCTAACTTTGATCAGATCCAGACATCCATGCTACACAGCTGGGCCGATCTTGGCTGAGTGAGTCACTGACTTTAAGGCCACAACAGCAGTGAAGGACAAAAACTCTTCAGGCAGCTGTCCAAACAATGAGGGATCTAAGTCCTACCTGCTTTCCTCATACTTTCAGAATGGTAATTATTAGAGTATGCTTCTGTATACTTTTTCACCAACAGTCTGGCAGGGCTCAAATACATCTGGAGATATAGAAATGTCACTTTTATCTGAAGCTTGGGGCATCCTGGGGTTATGTTCCTAAGGGCACAAAGGTGAAAGTTCATGAATCACCCCTCACAGGCTTTGAACCTACAACTTTCCAATGGTCAGTCCAGATCTAGGCCTACATAAAAAGAATATGTGAAGCCAAAAAAGCAGTCAAAGAGATTTTGGAGCCTTTCCCAGTTAACTGAAGGAGGTATTAGGGCAACAATGGCAGCAGATCTTGCAGGCCTGTATTGATCTTTTAGGCTCATGCTTGTCTGAGACTGTGTGCCGTCATTTGAATCCACAGGGGCTTAACGACAACTTACAGCATCAACAATAGCTCAAAGTGCTTCTGCGCTTTAGTGAAAACGTAGGAGATTTAAAAAAAAAAAAATAGTGTGAATTTAAATCAGAGAGAGGAATCAAGACAAGAGCGTGAAAATTCCATTGGGGGTGAAGTTGCTAATATCACTAGGTTTAATACGGAATCCTAATTAAAGTAAATCGAAGAAATATAAAATGGGAAATAGACCGCCTAAATGGGTCGTCCAACATCATTAAACAATAAACAGTGAATCCTATTTGATAGGCTTAATTCAAGATGCAATTTCCCATTTCAAATGTTTCTCAGTGTGGAATAAGTTCTCTTGATTGAGATATTTCTGATGCTGGATCATAATTTAGAGGGGTTAATTGCTTCTGCAGCAACAGGAAATGATTCTTGCATCAATATGTGGCTGTTGAATGCAGGCTTGAACTTCTTGTTAAAATCTCAAAGAAAGGTAACTCACTAAAAACAGCAAAACTGGACATATTCTGCATATTATCCATAAAATGAAGTGAATATAAACATGGCTCTCAACTGGTTTTGCTTCAGCAACCAGACTTTACATTGGACACCATGTGGCAACACATTACCACAATTGTGTATTGTAAAAAAAAAAATATATATATATATGTCAATAATTAACTAATAATGAATATGTATAAACAGTACCTTTTTTGGAAGAAATTGATACTTTTATTTAACAATTATTAGAAATTTAAAAATATTAATATTTCCAATACATTGTTATTGAAGCTATTTCAAAAATATTTCTATTTCCAATAAATTATTATTTAAACTTCTCGAGGAGCAAATCAACATATTTGAATGATTTGACACTGAATGACACTGAAGACTTAAGTAATGATGCTGAAAATAAATAAGTTACATTTTAAAATATATTAACATAGAAAACTGTTATTTCAAAATGTAATAATAATAAGA